CACATCACTGAAAATGTAGAGGATTATGAAATAAAGTTTCACATCACTGAAAATGTAGAGGATTATGAAATAAAATTTCACATCACTGAAAATGTAGAGGATTATGAAATAAAGTTTCACATCACTGAAAATGTAGAGGATTATGAAATAAAGTTATGAAATAAAGTAATGCCTATGTTTGTGTTTTCTGTGTTCATGTATTTAATTTGAAGATGTACTGCTCGAAACAAGCATGTTTCCACAAAATTTCCAGCCGCAGCACAAGGCTAATCGCCCACCCCTGGCCCTCCAGACACGTCTCGCACGCTTACATCGCGATACACAGACATCGTTTGCCAGTTTCCTTTAGTCATGGCAAGTGCAAAATGCGATTCAAAAACAAACATCAAAACAAAAATCCCCTTCTCAATTTCAATAAAAATAGGCCAAAAAAGTTCGCTTGCATCACAAGAGCCCAACTGTAATTGCCCAACCACTGAATTATTCATATCGCTGCAAAAGACCTAGCGTACCGGCCAATGAGACTGTGCGTTTTCACGAGGTACATTTTGCGAGACACAGCTATCCAATCACAATATTCCTCCACAACATCATGCTCCTTCAGTGACCATCAGTGCGCGTGGGTGGCTGCGCCGCAGTGTGCAAGTGAACTCGGACTATCGATCAATCGTGTCTTGCAGTTAGTGTCGAAAATCATAAGACAGACGGAAAATTAAATAAAATTGTCTCTCCATGACACAATTTGTGTTTGAAAGACCACTTACATGGATGCGGGCTCCAGTTGATGAATTGTCACATTCTTGCAGGTACACACAGGCCTATATGTGCATGGCGCTTACCTTTCTTCATTATCCATGGCAATCGAAAGCCTTTTAAAAATCCCTGGATCGATGCTTTCACATGTACGTGTACATGTGTTTGCTTTTATTAATCTCACATGCACAATATGGTAAAATTGCGATCAAGTTAGACATTTTTAAAAATGCGTTTGTAATAAAAAAAGAAGAGATGACAACTACGATTCAGTCAAACATTTATCCTAAGAGTTAAAGTTATCCTAAGAGTTAGAGTTAAACAGCACCGAAGCGGCGGAAACAAGTCTACAGCCTCCAAAAGATCAAAGGCATCAAATCACAAATCTTACGAGAGCGTGACGCTGGAAAAAACACGTACAGAAAGGTTAAACAGGTACTCACCGTGTTAAATTATGTAGAATATGGAGTAGAAGCATTTGGGTGCCGTAAGTGCCGCGATAGGTATCCCTGCTTGAATGGGGGCCATTACTGCACCTGTCAGTCTTGTGATGGAAGGTCTTGCCATCGGCGTGTTTGGAGCATATGCGCTGTTGAAATACGTCTCCCAATTTAATGCAAGATTATAAGCTACCGATAGTGAAAACAGACGAAGCGGTCCACCGTTGGGTCAGCGACCTTATATCGTTTTATCAAAACCAGTTTAATTTTGCGGTCTATTGCGCAATGACGGCATGTTGAGTGGGTTTTGATTTACTGTCTGATCCTAGTTCATATGTATTGGCGTTGTTTAATTTTCACGTGTACCAGAACAGTAAGAAAAATCTTGTTTGACTGCATCATACCTATACCGAGCGATGACATATTTGACATGTTGTACAACAATTATGATCACTGCAAGTTCATTGACACGTGCTGACCATTTAACCTCGACTCAACCAAGTCGTTTAAACAAATGCAAGATACATTGAACAACTGATTAGGGACAGCTTATTATTATGAAAATGGTTACGTACAGGTCCCAGGCAAAAATGACGACACTCGTGATTTACACGTAACCAACAGCAAGTACATGTATGCAGGCTCTACCTATATGGGGTTCGGATGGGCAAAGCCGCCTAAAGGTGCGGGACACGTGAGTACCTATACCGTAACATGGATCGAGCAGTCGGACACTGTCACGTTGGCTTGGTGGGACTTTATTCCGCACAAGTCTAAACTCACCGATGTGGGAATCACGAAAGTGAACAAATCAATCTGAGCTTAAGTTTACGCATTGTTGGAAGCTCAATCTCAAACAAAAACCAGTGTGCTAGCACTTGGAATGGGATTACATTCTCAACGGCAATTTGTCACCATCGTGGAATCTTTGATTCGTGCCGTCGGACATGGATCTCAGAATCAGGACGTTTGATAGATACAATAATGATCTCCAAATCGCAACACCTGACATGCTAATAGGTTACAACTCATCGTAAAAGCCCAACTCCAGCGATTTCAATTTTTGTTGTATCATACATCATTGTGTTCAGAATGTAATAAATAACATATTTATCAAAACGAAATTATCTGGTTTCTTGAGATTTTTGTTATTTGGCGATTATTTCTGGACGGTTTATGTTGAGTTTCTGAAAACAAAATACAAATTGACCGCTGGCTATGCTATTGAGAAGCCAAAGTATCGTGACGTCATCTCGGAGAAAACAGAAAACTGGTATCCATGTAGCATATATAGCGCATGTGATGTCCTACGACAGCGAGTGGATATGTCGCGCCTGTTCTCCGGTATGTGTGTACGTAGTGTACGTACAGTCAAATGTACATGTCACGCACCGTACCGGCACAGCTGGGTAATCCCTGCATGCGTAACAGTGATCTGGCGACCGGCGAGTTTCTCTAAAATTGCCTAAATCCGTCATGGTCGGAGGTTCCACTTGCAATTCAACAAAATATCCTGAATTGAGATTCTTCGAGTTTCCAAAGAACGAGGCTGTTCGGTGGCAGTGGATCAAGTTTGTTGAGACCACGCGATCAGACTTCTGCATCTCAAAATGGAGTCTCATCTGTGATGAGCATTTCTCTGCCGACTGCCAGGACCCACAGTCCAAAATGAAAGCAGCGCTGGGCATGGATTGCCGCTACCGCCTTTGGAAGGATGCCGTGCCTTCGTTGAAGTCTCCTACTTTAGCAAGCTGTACGATGCCAGAACCTCCAAAAATATGCGTTCCAGCAATGCTTTTGCTAAAGGGAGAGAAGTCGGGTGAGTGAATGCATGATCGATCTGATGATGAATCGCTAGCCTGGGCACGCTTGTGTGTGGCAGCCTGGTACAAGCATAAGCACGCTGTGTTCTGATTGAATGTAGGAGAAGTTTTTCCATACACGACTGCACCAATTTTCCCTATAGTGACCTATCAGACATTAAAAACTCAAAATGTGCCGTAAAAGTGAAATTTAGCAGTAGAAATTTTAAAGCATTTTCTGAGAATACACTCTTTCAGACGAGTCACATATACATGTAATGACGTAGGCCTAGCCTGGTTTGTGCACAGGGTTTCAAGTAACGGTCGTGTATGGGAATCTGTTCGATTATTCACTGGAATGGGAAGGGGAAGGTGTTATTTTCATACTTGGCCATTGTGAGATGTTACTCAGCTAGTGGGTATTTTTTTCTAAATATTAAAATAAGTCTTCAGAGTTTTTTGCACAGCCTGTTTTTTTTGTGGTGCAGATTTCTCTGGAATTCTTTATTATAGATCCTACAGGATGCATTTTCAGAATATGATAGGAGGTATACTCATAGTCCAAACTTGGCAACATCCCCATTTCCTCAAGATGCTGGCACTAGTACTAGTAGCAGTAAGTGTTTTCCCTCCAACACCCAAGATGCTGGCAGTAGCAGGAAGGGTCGTGATAATACTTCCAACAAGGTTTGTGAATGGCTTAATTTACAAAACTGAGTGGAACGAATATTGCAGCCTGTCATTACCATCTCAATATAGGTCATTTTGTTTGAAAAATGCATTCCCAATTTCGCAAGGAAAAGCTTAAAAGTGGTAGACTTTGTAAATTATTAACGGCTGCTGAAGGGACATGCTGCATTTTAGTGAGAATGCATACACATTACAGATATGAGCAATTTCTAAAATAATAGTTAAAATTTGTCAGACCAGTCTCATGGGGTTTAGCGATATACTTTTTTCTTTTTGTAGGCTACAGATGGACTTGTGAGTGATGCTACTGAGGCAACATCTGTACAGATGCCACTCCCAGTTACAAAACAGGTATTTTTAAAACAAGTTTGCATTGCCAAAATCCCAGCAAAACACTTATTGATGTTGACCACTCATAAGTTTACTTTAGCTAGAAATACTATATACTTGCGTACATGTATTAGATGATCAATTATTTGATTTACACCCCCCCCAAAAAAACCTCAAAATACTTACCTTTTGCTTTTCTTCACATGTTAGGATGAAGCCTCACAGACAAATGCAAGATGGTGCTGCAGAATTGTCAGAAATGAGGTCAAAATAAATGTCTGGCCAGGTGAAGCAAATTGAACAACTACTATTCCTTCAAAAGGACACAAACTAACCCAAAAATGCTCCATCCAGATTCCAGAGGTGAGCGCCTAAAAACAGCATTTTTTCAGAATAGGGGGGTATCCTAAGAAGCAAATGACATCAACACCATGGGTAAACTCTTTTGATCCTGTTTAAAACTCAAATCACATATCATGACCTATCGTAGGTATGTGGGTTTTTTAGGCTAATCCACCTCATGAAAATTAAAACAGTTGTTAGTATTGTAAATGTGACATCCCAGAATGGAGAGAATGTTGCTATCATTCCCAGTGCACATATGATATGCATTTGCCATATCTTTCTCATTTTATTAGGCATTCAAACTCGTCCTTGTATGAGAAGCGCCTTCACAGAATGCTCCCTCGTAAAGGCAGAACCACTTAAGCTATTTCCTCCACAAGGGTCTAGCCCTGTCACTTCCAGGCCAGTTTGCACCATGTTCGTGGCTGAGGGGGGTTGCCACCAAGACTCGTCACACGATCAAGACTCCAGTGACAGCGAAAACGTGCCCTCTTGATATGAAAGCAGTGAGTCTGGGTGTACCAGGTATGTACCTCGGATGAACATGTTTCAATTCATGAATGAAAATAATAGAACATGTATGTTCTTATACACAGAGAAGCTAAGATGCTGATCTTTTAACTGGTGACATGATCAACTAATCACAATGATGTACCCAAAATCACAATTATGTACCCTAACACCTAAAAAAAATGGATTGCTTTTGTAAAAAATGAGGTACTTTTCTTTTGTTCATAGTCGTGACGAGCACAAGTCCAGGGTCCTGCATTAGGCCAAATTCATTGTGTTTGAGTCGAAACTCTTGGAGTTATTTCAGATCTGTCCTGTTTGCATCTCGTCTTCCCATCTAACAGTCTGTCGGCCACTGGGAGGGACCATGGTCGAAGTGAAGCAGACCTGCTGGAACACCAACTGCACCTTTGGTAGAACCTGGCGAAGTCAGCCACTGGTTGGTAACATCGCAGCAGGCAATCTGCTTCTGTCGGGTGCAATCCTAACTGCTGGATGTTCCCCAAAGAAATTCATCCAGGCCCTGAATAACATCAACTGTGCTAGCATCAACTATTCTACCTTCTTCAACCATCAGTCATGGTAAGTGACCATTTACATTGCCAGAAATAGTGACTGAAAGGCCATTATTTTAATATATATGTGCACATGTAAGAATTCATTTGCAAAACAGACTCTCCACTTTAAAGTTATCATATAGAATCATGCCTTTTCAGTTGTCTATTAAAGGAAACACCCATTATTCTGAAAAAAGGATGGTTTATAAAGATCATCCTGTCAGTGTCACCGTATTAGTGTTTCTTTTAACACACGCAGCTTGATAAATTATAATTGGACATAGTAACTTTAAAGTAGAGATATCTGGGTTTTGTTTTCAAATGAACTATTTGATAATGATAAAAAAATGTAAATTCAGCCATTTGTTTAAATCTAAATTGCAGGTATTATATGCCAGCCATTGCTGATACTTGGCATTTTAGTCAAAAGCAGTTGGTGCTGAGCACTAGGCAACAGGAGGGTGGTGTTTTCCTCGGAACTGACACGTGTGCAGACAGCATGGGCCACTCAGCAAAGTTTGGGTGCTATAGCATCCTTGATGTCCGTGAGAACAAGATTCTACACATTGAATTGGTGCAGGTAAGGGGATAATTTACAATTATTTGGCACATTGTTTCTAGGATCTTCCTTTTTTTCATGTAATCTGTCTAATAGGTAAGCTGTACCTCTTTTAGCATGCAACTATACATCAAAGAATGGAAGGACACATTTGGAGTGGGAGTTTGCCTGCAGTGTTCTTGTTGCTTTTCTTTTGTTGTCTGCTAGAAAAATGAATGTGGAGATAAATCCAATCGGATGGAAAAGGAGGGTTTAATCTGAACTGTGAGGTGGCTCAACAATTAGAACATAGCTGTTGGCTGTATTGTGACAGATCACCATCGCTCCATAGCGAAATACATAAGAGCTGTCACCGAAGGGAGTCCTCCGCTACTATGACGTATGGCATGTAGCCAAAGTAAAACATAAACGCACATTTTAGTTTGCGTTTCTAATCTTCGAAATTTGGAGGCCTCTGAAACAACATACATTTACGTGTATTTTTGTTTTTTTCTCTGAACATGTATTAGGAGTGAAAAAAAATTACTGAAGGTCAGCAAAATGTCATTGGATTGCTGCTTCAACACCAGATGGTGACAAAGAAGTCATGCTGGCCAAGTTCGAAAGTGTCATGAACCACATGTACAACATCCACGCCCATAACAACCCCCTGTTCCCAGCATGTGCACACGGTTCCCTGGAACTTAGAGATTGGTTGACATCTGGTAAGGACCGTAGAATGCCATACAAATCAGAAGTAGAGCTGTGGATTCTGCACAGTACTTCAGGTTTTCTAAGCATTGTTATATGTGATCTTTTAAAAATTTAATTTTCTTATCAATGTACCCCATCTCCTTTTACGTTCTAGGTACATTAATGCCACATTGATTTTTTTTTACAGGAACAAAGCCAGCTCAACAGGTTGCCAACATCCTCGAAACAAAGAACCTGAAGAAAGATATGCAGATGTTTTCTCCGAAAACGCAAAGATCTTGTGTGGAGTCATTCCACGCATTGATTGCTCGATTTGCTCCGAAGATGTATGCGTACTCTTTTGGTGGAATGTTGTGCAGGTCAGTTTTACTTTCAAGTTACATTCCAAGATGTGTACAAGGACTTGCAGTGGAAGTGTATTCTACCTTCGTTGTGTGGATTTGTAATAACTGGATTTTTTCTTTTTGATAGAATCTTTCTAGCAGCCCTGCATTATAACGAGAATGCTGGATGTACTCAGGCCAAAGATGCTGATAGAAACCTGCAACATGTTCTTGTGTATCCAAGATCCAAACAAGATTTGGGAGGTTATACAGTTAGGAGGGTACTAGTTAACAGTACACACAGTAAGTGAACCTATGATGGAAAGATCTTCATAAGCTACTTTCACTTATTTTCCTCTAAAGTGACTTACATTCTCCTAAATAGTAATTACAGGTCATAAAAGTCAATTTGAGCAGTGAGAAAATAAGAGCGATTTCTTAGCAAAACACAATTTGTCAGACCAGCCTCATAGAGTTTGTACACATGGTGTTGAGTGCAAGTAGTATATGGAAATCTTTTCCCTATGACAAACCAGAAATTTAGGGAGAAAGTACAAATATATGTACTGATTTATCCAGGGGAAAAGGGGGACTAGCCCTTCTCAGCAAATATTTTTCTTTGTAACCTGATTTACTTGCCTCTAATCTGGCATGCTATTTAACATCACACCACAAAAGTTATTTATCTCTGCAAGCAATACACACGTTGCAAAAGTCCAATTTCATGGTTGGAGTGTAGATGCTGCCATACCTATCCATGTATTTTGTCAAATGTTTTTTGTAACAATACAATGGTTCTCATTACCTTTCTTAATTACAGTGTATGAGGAACAAGTCGTCAAGAAGGCGATTGGTCTATGTCAGTGTGGAAACAAGACCAGCAAGAAAGAGTATCCTCAGTTGCACTGTGACCCTGGTACAATGGCCAGTACCATGAGCCTGACACGGCCAAAAAAGGAGGATGCAATTCGACAGTTTGTGTCTCACTTCAAGACACAGACAACTCCTGTTGGCCGACCACTGCAGCCTGACAAGGATGTGAAGCGAAAGAAACGTAGGAAATGTGTGGAAATATAAGAGAAAAATAAATAAATGCAGTGCACAAAAGAAAAGTATTTCCAGCTATTGTGTTTTATATTTCAACACAACATTGTATGAATAGCGTACATGTATCTCTGATTGGATGTATTACATGAAATGTTACTGCATGCAAGGATATGATTAACTGCAACTCCCTGTGCATTTTTGAACTGCAAAAGCCTCTGACAGTGACTGAAGATAGGTCAAGGCACAGATGGTGACATATACTACTATCACTAATTTTCCTCTATATATGTGCAGTTTATCATAATGTTAATATAACTACAAAAATAAGAAATTGGCTTAGGTCAGTAAGTAAAAAAAAACATGTTTAGCGTCCTGCCTCTGTGGAAAAAACCCTGTTTTTATTACCATACCTGGCTGGCCTATATTTCAAGATGGTCACCAGTGTTTTTTAATGGGTCCCACTTGGACTTGGTGCACGAAAAGAATATGTTCTTTGATTTTTTTCACATTTTTTAAACAAAAAAGGTGGCCTCAAAAGGAAGCAGGCCAATTAAAATTTGGGTGGCATCTTCTGGAATTATCTAATTGCAAACATATAGGGTGATGTAATAAAAAAGGGCAGTTTACTTGGAAAAGTAAATAATTCCTTCGTTATAGCTAATCGAGGGTCGAGTATTTAAACCTTTGTAATGGCCATCTGGATTAGGGTAAGTCCTACCAATTGACTCCATCACGCAAGACGGAAGTGGTACACGGTTGAAGCGGCCAAATATCCCCAACACCACCTCAAGACTTGTCTGTAGGCAACATGGCATAATTTTCTGAAATGAAATAAAGTGTTATGATTGTTACTATGTCCATTTTCTCATAGAAGAGAAAATGTTACCAACCATGTAATTGCATTTTGTTTCACATCTACATGTCGATGGGATGTAACACAGTTCTGACAAAAAAAGGACCACAAAATATTGATTTTTTTTTTAATGGGGGGTGCATATTTTTATTTAAATAAAGCCTGTGTAGGGAACTTAGACAGCAGAGGTATGCTACTGCCACTGGCGTACTGATTTAGAGGGCGGGGAGGGGGCTTGGGGAATGCTGCCCCAAATGAAATTCCTTTTTCTCTTTTTAACTGAAACTCAAAATGGCTGTTGCTGCCCCCAAAATGATTACATATGAATCTGGAACTGAAAAAGATTTCAATTTGTTTAAAAAGGTGGTCCTGGACTCGATAGAGTGAACTCGACCACTCACTGGTCAACTGTTACCTCGACGGCATGTCTGCCATAATGCACTTGGAACTGCATGTGTGCAGTGTGTAGAACAGCTGGATGCAAGCAGACTGCTTGAGAAGAAGAAATCAGAAAATATAGGCAAAGCGTCCGCACTTGATTTTCACAATACATCGCAGATTTAAAAAATCACTTGGAGTTCGAGGAAGGAAAATTTCAGAGTGAAATTCCACAACACGCGCGGGCAGACAGACTGTTTGTAGTCCAGACGAATTTCCGTCCAGATTACACAAAATTAATGTGTGTCGGAATAACACGCAATACCCTGATGTACTACATTGTACACGGTTTTGTTGACCAACGTTAAAGTTGAACGTTAAAATAAAATAAAACGGAAGGTGATATCGTATCAATATCGTACCAATCTGTTTTATAAGATGATTTGGGTCCCTTTCATTGTCAGTTTCTTGTGCAACATCATCCACAACAATCGGCTCGAAGCGGTATGGTTCAACACTGAGAGTTTCGCTGTCTTCCCCTACAGAAGAATCATCCGAACTACTGTCCGAACTGCTGCTGGAATGGCTTTGATCCGAATTCAGTTCTTCTTCATCGATGCTGTGCTCTTTCCAAGAATTGTCACTTTCAGCCATTTTATCAGCAAGAAACCTAAAAACGTGTTAAATGTGGTGTACGATTCCGGAGTACTAGCAAGCGTTGCCTGCCAATGTACAGTACATGTACATTACTATGTAATGTTTGCATGCATTCGTCTCCACTGTATAACGTCACAGAATTCCCTATTCATTAGATGCTAATGAGTCATGACGTCACGCTCCTTTTCATCAAAGCGGATCAGCTCTCGCTAACAAAATGCTCACAAAATGCATTTCTTTTGACACAACAAATGAACACAAAAAGGTGGTTTTGACTTTACCTGGTTTATTAGACATAGCTCTTGAAATTAGGACATCAGTACTGAAAAAAATTGAAATCGCTGGAGTTGGGCTTTAAACTCTTATTCAAAACCTGAGATTGTTGATCCATCTTCCGAGTTTGCCGATCCAGAAAGTAAGGTTGAGTCCAAAGTGGTAGAGTCAGATCAAACACCTATTTTGCCCGTTCAGGCAAAGGCACCATAGGAAAAGAAACTGCTTGACGTTCAAAACGAAGAAAAATTGTCAAGGATCAGAACAATTGCCATCGGTGGAATCATTTTTATGGTGTATAAGGCATTAAATTAGATTATCTGTAACAAAAATGTAAAGGCATAAAAACCCTCCCATTAATCACTCCCTGCCGGGCGACACATTTTCCAGTACATAGACTTTATATGCAGAGCCGGGGAGCCCGGAACTGGGACAAAAGAGTTAGGCCTTATAACCAAAGACCGTGCTCAGCACAAAAGACTGAGCTGCTGGGCATTGCTGACATTTTTTCGCTCTCAATAGTGGAGATAATCCAGCCTTGTTTTGAAACAGTATACCATGGTTTGAGGCATTTAGAGCGGATTACCACCTGGGACAAAAGCTCTCCACCACCTCAGCGATGAGCCACACAGCACCGCTGCACGCCAATCTGGCCCCTATTGAAAAAAGGTCAGCATTGCTTTGTGCCGGTTTCGGGAACAAAAGAATCTTACGTAACACCACACAATGTGGGCTCATTTTCCAAGGCTACAGGCCTGGCTGAAATATTCAAAAGTCAATGAAAGTTAACTGTCAGCTTTAGAGTAGTGCCCAAAGAGTCCTTCATTTAGGTATAAACGGCCATTAAATGAAATGATGAATTTTTGAAGAATTTTGAAACGGAAAATCTTGAAAAGGACCCAGCATCTTGTCTTGCTCAAGAAAAATCCACCCGGCAGCAAGTGGTTAATTATCAATACGAGGGGAAATTTTTTTGTTCTATATTATCAACTTGCATTTTTTGTACATAAGTTAAAATTAAAACACCTACACCAACAAAGAAAGTCCGCACGTGATTAGCAATCTAACTGACTGTTTTTCTTGCTACATTGAACAACCAACTCAACACACTTCCAATTACACCTGGCAAAGTTCCCAAGATCAACAAATTCAAGTTTTTAAGTATGTTCGCTAAATTCTGGAGTTGCCTTTTTATCCAATCTGTTAGACTTCCGTTTGGCTTAGGAGGATTAGGCGACGGCTTTGGTGCAAGTTTTATACTAGGCATTGGTGTTCCCGCAGCTCTTGCAGCAGCCATGAAACTGACAATAGTACTGATAGCCAAACTAAAAGTCATTAAAATACTCAAGATCGTTATGCCTTGTTCTCTAGAAAGCGTCCAAGTCCAGGTCAAATCACTGTCCATTACGGCGTTAATCATTTCTTTGATGCGATTGATTTGAGTTCTTATCTGATCGGTGTTTCTATTGATGACTTCTAATCCTCCTCGTCTTTCAACCTGTAAATCATCTGAGCATTCTTTATTTTCTGCATGCTCCCCGGGTGATTGCACTTCGTCTAATTTGTTTTTGACTTGTTGGATCTTTTCATCCAACACGTCCAACTTGCCTTGGTTTAAAATAAGCTCTCCCTTTACCGTTTGTAACGATTCGTCCAATGCGATAAGTTCTCTATAGTTTAGCCCTTCGGTTTGCACTTCCTGGTTATGAGTAAGGTCTTCTATGTTGATACTTGTTTGATCGACTTCTCTATCTTGAACAAGGTCTTCTGTGATGGCACTTGCTCGATCGGCTTTTTGAGGGAGTTCTCTCAATTGAATGCTTTTGGGGTGAAGTTGTGAAAGTTTATGAGGTACTTCTTGCTCTTCTTGTTTTGTTTGACTATTGTCATATGCTTTGTTTAATAACCTTGATTATCTTGATATTCAACGTTTAAATTATTTCTGTTGTCACGTTTAAACACTTTGGGGTCTCTAACTGTTGGCTCATACCCCCTTTCTTTTCGAATTGCATCATGAAAGTCATTCATTTTATGTTCAAATAACGCCCTCCTTAAATCTGACGTGTCTAGTCCTTGACCCTCTACAAACGTCGATTCTTGTTGAAATTGAGTAGATGAACCCATTAGAAAGTCATCTTCCCATTCTAAGTTTTCTTTTCGTTCTTGCTCCTTTGTTAATTCACCAAGGGGTATTTCTTCCGGGTCAAAACCACCTTCTGCCATTTTATTTTATAACAAACAGGTTTTTAACTGCTGGGCAAGCTGGCTGGCAAGATGCCTTGTGCAACGAGCCAACCTTGCGTGGCTAACGCGCTGCTGGTGATTGTGGTCATTTTGGCCGCATCTTCTATGCTGAGTCAATCCAAATCGGGTGGTTTAATTTTTAGTAACGTTTTACCGAACATGGCTTATCCCATAGAGATGAGGCTAACCACAGCGCCGTGATATACTGTGTTGGCGATTGCGTTTACGTCGATTGCTTTACTCATTGTCTTTTTATTATGTAACGATTTTCAATTTACTTCATTTCTAACATTTCTAAATTTTCTGATGTGGTTGCGCCAGCTGTTGGTGGTGATTGTACTTGTGGTTGCTGTGCAGATGGCGGGTGTTTTCTTCTTTTTTAAAAACAATGCGAGAGCGATTCCGCCGATCAACAATCCACTTAAAGTCAAGTTTCTGTGATCTTTGTATATTTTAGTTTCTGTGCCAGACTCGGTCTCGGGCTCGCCAGCTTTTAATCGTAAAAAAATGTTTCATCTGCTGGTTATGTTCTACCAAGTGCTTACCTTGCTCAACTCACTTTGGGTTTTTACTCTTGGTGACTCTCTCCACGTGTGTCTTGGCCGTACTCTTGTGGAGTTGGTGGAATCTTGGGTTGTTCCTCTACTGTTTCTGTTGACATCTTCTTTTAATATATAAGAGCTTTTGTTGATAGTTAAATGTTTTGTTGTAATAAGTGTTGCTACCAAACGATATTTGATGTTTGGTTTGCTTTCAGAAACTTGAGTAGTTTCTTGTTTTGCGTTAAGAATTGTTTTGATGACTTCCATTTTAATGAAACAATTTTTAATTTGGTTAAACGCTACATGTAGCTTGATACATAGATATTCATATATAAAATGTTAAATTAAGAGCAATAACTAACTTGATAACTAGTTGAATGTATTGCAGCATTTGCTGTAATTTGCTGTAATATAAAAAAATTGCTACAGTTAAGTTGTAATAACCTAAAAGTAGCATTATGAAACAAATGATAGGTGTGTTTATTTTAGCTGTTCAGCGCTATAGGTTTGTTGATTCATCAATCATGTCGCACTTTTTCATGAGATTACATCTAAGATAAGATAAGATGCAATTCCATTTAACATGACCTATCGAGTTGTTCAATTGTTCCCAAACCAGATCCATATTCTAAAAATTGCAGTTTGATTTTACATTTGTTGTTATAACAATACTCGTCTTTTATTAACTCTTGCAGAAAATCTGTATCAATAAAGTTTTCAGGTTAAACTGATTGTATTTTATATCTTTTTCTTGACCGTGTCTAATACATTGTCGGATCATAATCTTCATCAGATCATTGCAAAGTTTACAATCTTGTCTTAGTTTTTTATGCTCGCAAACAGATGAGCCGTTATGGTCAACGCATTAGTACATGTATCTTAGTTTTTTATGCTGGCATATGGAAGCGCCGTTGCATTCGATGCATTGGTCTCTTCGTTTCTTATGCTGGCATATGGAAGAGCCGTCGCATTCGACGCATTCGTTTCTTTGTTTTTTTTATGCTGGCATATACCAGTGCTGTCGCATTCGATGTACGAACTTCTTTTGTCATCTGTGTGGACATTTATAACGAGCATTATATTTTTGAGCTAAATGTTACAATTGTTACAACTTACGCATGCTTTACCGTAAACTTTAACCTTAAATATTTTCAAATCTTTCTCTTTGTGGCAACGTTTACACAATTTTGTTTCCATACTTTGCGCGCTGTCACAGGGGTGAAAACATGTGCATGAAACTCTGTGCATTAAACAAAGCTGCTCTGGTTCCCGCCGTGCTGCACCCATGCAAAAGAATGCGTCATGCAAATGTAGCAACCAATACCAGTCTGTACTGTACATGTACTGCATTTAAACATTCTTCATCAGCCGTGCGCGTTGTGAATGCAAAAGGCTGCAGGCCGGAAAGACATCGATGTTATGTTGCAGCATGGTTGTAAGAGGTTTTCTGCAAATTAATTCACAAAACTTGGTCTCTTATTTATGTCTTTCTTTTCTTCGTTCATGAGAAATTTGAAGTTGTTCTGCTCATTTTAGGGCCCGCTGGTCTAGATGAATCACGCTTGCTTACCACGCGATAGCCTACACAATTACCAGATTACTGCATTAGGACCTATATGGACATTGTTGGCCAGTTTGCCGTCATGATTGCCGTCGTGATTGTGTGAATTTTTCATAATTTTTTTGTGTATTGCCGTATGTAGAAATTTTGACATAGATTAAGACAGATGTTCATCACTTTT